TCTCTTTCAGGCTCTTTTCATGAAGATTCTACAGATGTCTCTGAGCTCAGTGTACAATCGAATGAATGTCACTTACAGGAGAGATAATTGGTTGTGCTTTATTAAAACCCTACGCTGCTACAAACACACTCTTGGCCTCTAATTTAGAGACTTCACATCGGCCATCCGCACGATTCGAAGCACACAAATTTCTACAACCAAACTGACAAACTTCTATTATTAGCACACCAACAAGTAGCTTGATAAGCACCAACTTTTTAAGTAGCCGTAAACCAGCAGACCGACAAGTCAACATGGCAACCCACATGAATTTATGCGTTACGAATGCAACAAAAACAACAGCAGATAGAGAGACACGCAGGCAGTGTAGACAAGTAGCACGAAGTTAGAAGTTGCATTGGAAAAAAGATACCCAAAACCAGAATAGATGACGAATACGCAAATTAACTGCAATCAAATGGTTGGGGGGGGAAAGATGAGGGAGAAGAAGCATAAGAAGAATCAAGAACTACCTAGCAAAGCAATAGAAATGAATTGAAGTTGGAGTGGAATTGAATTAATAGAAAGTAGGAGTTTGCCACAAAGTGGGCGTTTTTTTATATTTTTTTTTTTGTTTCTTTTTTTTTTTGGATTGTGATGACTCGGATGCGCTTTGATAGAAGCGCTACACAGCTTATTCAAAAAAACACATTCACTTACACACACACAACTATATTCATAGTGAACAAAAGTGCACTGAAATGACAGCGACTGACTTCACGCTACAACTAATCATAACAGACAGCAACGACCGCTCTTGACAGTTCTGACTATTCTGCCTCGTATAAAAAATCGAAATATACACACTTCTATGTATATATACATATATATGTATATATATAATGCAAATAAAAATGCACGAGTTGTCTGTAAAAAAAAACAAATAATGTGGGAGATGACAGCTTTTATTTGTGAATCATACACCAACATACATAAGTACACTCAACTAACTAGCAAATTGAAGTAAGGGGGGACCCTTTACTCAAATCAAATAAAAAAAATAATTACTATTTTTCTACACAAAACCCACATTCAACTGCAGACATTATGTAGACAAGTGACATTTGTGCAAAACACACTTGCGTACATATACATACATACATGCATATATACATACATACATACATACATACATACATACATACATACATACATACACTGAAAGAAACAAGCTTGAAAAAAACAATATTAGAGTACGAAAAGTAAAGTAAACAAAATAAAAATGCAAAAATTCTAAAAGAGTTGATGATGTCCTCATTGCTGTGCCAACAGCAACTACATGGACACTTACGCACATACATATGTATAGACATAGATTTATACAAATATTGAGTTCTGTACAAACCGTACGCTTGGCTGCGTCGCCCAAGCCAAGATAGTTTTGTTAAATGCCTTATGCCAAAGCAAATATTTTCAAACTTTGCAAATAATACTACACTTATATATATATGTATATATAAATACCTATTGCAGCAAAAGGGCAGAATGTGAGACTAGCAATTAAGACAGTCTCTAACTATGACGTTGCAAGGCAAGGCCAATGGACAAAGCTTAGGGCAACTGCATTTTTGTATGTCTGCATATATGAAATGTAAGGAATGAAGAGAAAAATTAAAAAAAATTAAAAAAAAAAATTTTTTTAAATGTTAAAAAAATTAAAAAATAAAATAAAAAATAAAAGTTTATAAATTTTAAGGAAAAAGATTTTAAAAATTAAAAAAAAATTCTGAAAAATGTAACAACTCAATTCGTCTTACAGCCATTTAAAGAGAAAATAAAACAATATTACAACTCACATAGAATTTTTTTTTGGGTTATACGACAGACATTGAAGGATAAGTAGACAAATTGTTTGCAAAGCAACAAAAATTACAAATCTTTTCATAGAGTCAATAACAGCAATTTTAGCGTAATTTTGATGTAAATGGAGAAAAAAGAATATTAGAAAATATCATAGGCTGATAATTAAGTGAATTGGCCTAGAAGCCCATCGGAATCATCTAATATATATAAAAAAACTCGAGTGTACGTTTGTAAAGATCCGATGATCTCCAAAAGTTACCGACCATTTGACTTGAAATTTCGCCAGATTATTTCTCTGATTCCTAGGTTTTAGATTTATGGGACTTTAGGACGACGGACCAGGGACTGACCTATTGGAAAAAATCTTTTTTAAGGTTCAATTTACTTGACATTCGGTTTTCAGGTGGATCTTTTTGATTAACGGGATGGGGACCAGGAACTGGCCTACTTGAAAAAATCGTACTTATGGCTACCTTTACTGAAAAAATATACAATTTACTGGAAATTCGTTACAAAGATGGTATTTTTTGCGAAAAAAAATTCGTATAATCGCATGGTTCGTTTTAGTTGAATAATACTTTTGTTCCCTGGAAATGTACCAGAGACCTGGAAGGAAGTTCGATTTTGCTTCAGTACGGCGAAGAGATCACTGACAATACGAAAAGTTTCCGACCAATTGATATTATTGCACAACAACACAGCCTCCCATTCCTCGATCACCACTAGCAGATGAGTCAATCCTCACTTAAAATACTCAAATTTGTGACGAAATATACAAAGCCTGCATTTCAACCATACAAAACAATCCATCGGCCGTTGTATTGTCATGCCAGCTACTGGAAGTGGGGAATGGAAATATACCATTTGATCCGACTTCGGAACGAATTACTTTGTTTTACAACTTCTGTATTTTAGTGATTTTACCCGATATGAAAATTCCAATCAACCGCACTTAGACATACTGGACCCGCTGTGATACTCTGTTGATCCTGTAAAGCAGATTCCTCTCTTTTTCCCAGATGCTCAAACCAATTAGTGTTTGCCATAGAGTTTCAGAGATTATGGTTGCCTACAGGTCCAAGCTCGGCAAGAATAACGGGCCACACCACTGAGGGCTGGGCAGTGTCTGATGTAAAAAGTTCGTTCGGTTTTTTTTTATTGATTTTTCAAAATATGATAACTTTGTGTGCATTTGTCCAATTTAAGTCGCGCCGTTTTGTTCGTAAACTTGTTGCCAACGAGATGCCAACTTCGTAGGAGGTAGCGTCCCTATGGGCAAAAAACTCGGGGAGCCAATTTCCACAGGCCTCCCTTCAGGTCATCTTCTCACCATTAAGGGCGTTCGCCATGGACAGAAAAAGGTGATAACCACTTTGTGCCAGGTCCAGACTATAAGGTGAGTGCATTAGAACCTCCCATCCGAGCTTCTGGAGCTTCTGGCGCGCCACCAAGTACGTGTTTGGCCTGGCGTTGTTCTGATGGAACACGATTCGACTTGTGTTGATCAAAGATGGCCTTTCCTTGATGAGTGCTGCCTTCAAACGGTCTATCTGAAGGTAAAGGTAATAGAGCGCCGAATTGTGCGTTTGACCATAGGGGAGTAGCTCTTAGTAGATGATTCCTTGCCCATCCCACCAAACACACAGAAAAACCTTCCTGGCCATCAATCCGCTCTTGGCCATCGTCTGGGCAATTTTTCCCAGCTTTGACCACGACCGTTTGCGCTCAATGTTGTAGTAAGTGACCCATTTTTCCTCACCAGTCCCGCACCGAACGAACTTTTATTTGACCTATTTTTCATCCGATCATATCCTTTTTAGCATGAGTCCCCCCCACAGGATAAATAGTGTCCGGTAATTGCGCCAGTTGTTATGCTAGTACACGCTGCGGCTGCCGCACGTCCTGTAGAATAATCATAAAGACTTGGTGCTCTTTTTTTCCATGACCTTCCAATGGCCTGCTTTGTTTGGTCAAATTTCAATTGGTTTTCCACTGTCACCTGCTATTGGCCCTACTTAGCACGTACTTTGTTGAGGAATGCCCACGTCACATACAAGAATATAGTAATGCAATAGTTATGACTGTTTCCCTTTCAGCCAGCTTGTCGGCCTCACAGTTCCCAATCATGCCCCTATGACCAGAGACGGAAACGACAAGCGCTTGGCACCCACTCGAAATTTTTCTAAGATTTCTCTGCATCTTATTGCTACCTATGTAATAGTATCATCACATTGGAGAGACTTAATGGGAGCCACGCTGACAACATACATTGTTATAGTTTGGGTTATCGTTTTAGAAACGCGAAACCATGAAGCGACCTCCGCTATCGCGTTAAGTTCAGCTTTACAGGCACTGGTGGTCGGTAAGTCTCTTGGTCATGACAATAACAAGAGGTTCAGAGTAAACTCACAACCAACTTTGCTATCGAGCTTAGCGCCATAGGTGAAGCTAGCTACTGATCTTTGTCCAAGCAGAAATCAGAAATAGTGCATTCCGTTGCACCTCGATGAGGCAGATTACCTAGAATCAATGGGTGAAGTAAGTCTATGAAGTAAGCGACGTGCACATATGCCAAATTTTTTTCAAATCACCGAAATATGCTTCGTAGGCGATGTCCGGTATCGCCTTCTTTTACCACCTCTATTGAGTCAAAACGGGTTCTTGAGTTTTGGAAACATAAAAAAGTCGCATGTTTCTAAATCCGGTGAATACGCTGGTTTATCGATGGTATTAAATGAGTTTGCGGTCTTAAAATCATTTCCAACTACAGCTCGGTGCGAATGTTTCCGAAAATGGTTGGCCCACAGTTCCGGCCATTTACGACGGATTTATTCGCGCACATACCTCAAAACGCGCTCTTTATTGACCGTCTGTCCCGTTGGAACGAATTCGTGATGAATATCGAAAAAAACGATATCCAAATAAACTCTGGTCTTAATTATGATGCCATTAAAAATAAATTATTTAATTATTCTTACAAACGCTGACATATCTACATACATCGTTTACTCGACTCTTCTTCTTTTTTAATATCAACAATTCAGCTTTATCTAACTCTAGGAGTTTTCTACTATTACTGAAATTTACATTGAAAAGTTCGTCGATCATTAATTATTTAAATTTCTTTCACTTCTCTCTCTCTCTCTCTCTCGTTTCAGGTGAGTTACAGCAAGAAAAAATGTTACAGGGATTACAACAATATTACAACATGAACTCGTCGGCTAAAGAAGTTAAAAATTAAAAATCTAACAAAACTTTCTCTCGGAGAATCCTAAGTGGGTAAAACAATCTGACTTGTGATAAGCACGTTTTGATGATGGATTCACTGATACACTTGAAAGGCGCAGAGATAGAGAAGCTTATTCATTTTGCGGTTTAAAAAGTTAACCTAAATGAAGTGAATTAAAAAAAATATTTTTTCATGACATTAACTTTTTTTTAAATTTTGGCATTCTGTGTGAAACAGCACATATCGACAAAAAATATGGATCACCCTGTACATCATTGAAATCGTGTTCTTCAATTGCCGGCTAAAAAATAGTCGGTTATTACACGACTGTAATGCTGCGAATTGGTAGTGGCAGTCGCGCCGTTGTCGTTTTTAAAGAAGTAGAGTCCAATCACACCACCAAACCAAAGAACCTGCCATCCTGTTTTCGATTATTTGAGGAATCTCGGCGCTCCAAATGCCATAATTTTGCTAATTTATGTATCCTCCGTGTAAAATGTGCCTCATCAGCATAAGATGCCGTAAGAAGTCTCAGATCTAGAGAACGTACGTTGATAAACAGATTTATTCGAGTGGGGATGAAGCCACTTTCACTTAAACGAAAAGTAGACCTTTTGTTCTAGGTTTAACATTTTTACGGCATTGTGCGGTTGATAAGCGATCCATTTTCAAAAATTCCTAACATTTAACTAAACCAAAACAGGTTTGGTTTGACAGTTAAGTACGACAGATGTCAAAATACAGCACTGCACTTTCTTAGCCATCACATAGATACAGCCCTGGCCAAAAATATTAGGCACCCCGCTAACTACTGAAATTTTTATTTTAACAAGTGAAGTAATGATGTTTTATTAGTAAGCCAGTAAAAAGACAATGTATAAGTGATAATAGCATTAATATTTAGTAGGTCCATGCTTCCATTTAATAACGGCAGCGATCCTCTTAAGCATGCTGGTTACAAGCTTTGCACATTCGTCCGCACTTATAGCGTACCACTCGTTAATTAAAGCATTCTTTAAGGCATTTTTTTGATTTTATACTGTGTTCCTTAGTCTTGCGTTTTAAAATAGCCCAAATGTGCTCAGTGAGTACCACGCAATCTGGATGATATTCTTCTCCAACCCCTCGCCTCACGAATGTCACACCAGGTGTTCCAAATATCTGTAGAAAAGAAAAAATTATGTTTTCATAAGATTTGTATTATGTCTTCAAAATTGCTCTATGGTAAGACGCTTTGGCTGTTAATACTTTAAGACGATCTTAACTAAGCTTAACTCGAAGTTTGATTCATCAGACCACAGAAAATTTGAGCAATCTTCTTCCGTGAAATGTTGGTATCGGCGGGCCCATTCTAAATGATTTTTCATATTCTTTTCTGAGAGCCACGGCTTCATTCGCGTTTTACATCCTTTTAAATCTGCTTCCAGGAGTCTTCTTCTAGCTGTTCGAGCACTAACTGGTTTACTAAATTCATCCGAAAGGTCAACTGCAAGGGCAGCAGAAGATTTCTGGCAATCCTTGAGAGACTCGCATATAAGTATTCGGTCTTCTCGTTAACTAGTTAGACGCTTTCTTCCACTTTTTCATTTATTATTATGGGATCTCGTCTCCACAAATCGCCGGATGGCACATCCCGCGAAATTGGCAATCCCAACCTGAGACTTACTTTCTACACTTAGAACTTGAATTCTAACTCTAACATCTTAACTAATTTCACCTTTTTTAGGCATTTCGGTAAATATGAACTGTTTTTATAAGATTTGTAAGTTTTCACTAAATTTAATTTAAACTTTCACTTTCAAATTTTAAATGAGAAAATATTTTATGAATTTCTTAAAAATGACAACTTTTAGGTTACCCAGACATATAAGACATTTACAAAAACAATTGGTATCTTTGATAGCCACATTTAAGAATACTTGTATTTGAGTGGGGTGCCTAATACTTTTGGGCAAGGCTGTATATTATCCGCAATGGCAGTAGAAGTGTTTATTTCTATTACCAATGAATTAAAATATTTATGGCAAATTACTGCTATTTATGCACATTTATAAGCGATAAAATCAAGTGAATATTGTTTTAGAAGTGTCTCCTTTGTTGTATTTATTGTTATCGAAAGTGTCAGTGGCAATAGGTATAATACGAAACAAACCCCATTGACTGTCTGCAGTTAGAACATGCATGGGTCTTATGTTTATGGGAGACCAATATTAGAGTGGGTAATTTTTCGAAAAAAAAAAAAAATTTACACACATATTAAAAGGCAGAAATCTCTTCTATTTTTCCTCTTGATTTTCATCGTTTTTTGCGGTATTTGTGGTATGCGTCTTGATGGTTTTCCAACAAATGAGCATGCTACAGTTTGTTCTAAGCCGCCCCAGGACGACCGATGGATTTTTATGATGTGCTTTTTATTAGTTGTCAAAAATACCCTCGGAGGGCTAGACGGTTCTTGCCGGTCACAAAAGGCAACCGATATTTTGAGAATTCAGTTTAAACTGAAACGATTGCTCAAAGTACTATCGTATATGAAATTTAAAAGAAACTCATCGATATCTGAAAAATATTTTACTAGGAGTCGAAGATCACAAAAGCGAGTTTTTCGTCCGCAACTCTCAGCTGGGTCCGAATTATTGCAGCGTCACTACCATTTTTCCCCTGATTTGATTGGACTAACATTAAAACAGCTTCTTCCACATAATATTTTTTCCTTCAAAAGAACGAAAACAAAAAAAATTTCACAATTTTATTTCTGAAACTCTTTAATTTTTTTTTCTCTGATACGACGGAATCAACAAAAGTTCGGTAGATTATTAAAATTAAATTATTTTTGTATTGAACGTAATCCTTGTTTCTTTTTTATCTGCTTTACATAATCGCCATTCTGAAGTCTATTAGACTGAAGTCTATAGATCCACTTCTGAAAAAAGTCTTCAAAATCTTGCTTTTCAAACTTATCAAGTTCAGCATTAACCGCATTAATTTTTGATGTTAAAGACCCGTCCTTTTAAATCACCTTCCTTTTTAAAACCAGAAATCACAAGGTGCTACATTCCGACAACATGCTGCTGGACGTATTTCTTAGGTCCCAGATGCAGCTCTCTTTAACGTAATATTCTATTTTTTTATTCAAATAGCTTAAGCCATAACTTCGGGGGTCTCCCCAATCGCGCCATACTAATGTATTGATATATATATATGCGTGTGTACGTTTCATCAAAAATGCGTATGATTGTTATGTAAAGCGTGATTTTTAAGAGCTATAGGAAAGTTTTTCACAAAAAAAAAACACATAAAACTCATACATGGACCAATTTAATGTTTGAAGATTATTTCATGCAAATGTTGACCGCGACTGCGCCTCGAGTCGAGTCTGTTCAACATTTCGGCCGGTAGCTGACGAATAAATGCTTTATTGTTGTCCTCTATTGTGTCAACTGAAGCGAGATTGTCTGTATAGACATTGGATTCAACATAGTCCCACAAAAAGTAGTCTAAAGGCATTAGATCGCACGATCTAGGCGGCCAATTGACCGGTTCCGAATGTGAAATAAAATGTTCACCGAACTCGCTTCTCAATAAGTGAGAAGTACGGTCCAATGATGCCACCAGTACATATACCGCACCAAATTTTGAATTTTTCTGGATGCTTGCTTCTGGCTGATGTTCACTCCAAAATCGACAATTCTTCTTATTTACGCACCTTTTAAGCCAAAAATGAGCATCGTCGCCGAACACAAAAAGATAATAGCTAAAAACAAGCACCCTTTATGTACGCATAAATGTCGTATGCCAAAATGTTTAATACAAAACAACAACAATTTGCGATTTAAATAAATTTGTTGTCACTGTTGTAACCAACTTTACGCCACAACTTAAGCGACAAATGTAATTTTTGCGGTGGCATGTAGGCGTGTAGGCGTGTGAGTGCGTAGAGTATTATGTATATAAGGATCTAAAGCTCTCGAAGCTAAGAAGTAGAGCACACTTTTACGTGTACTAAAAGTATGAAAATATGTGTATATATCTATGTATGTGAGTAAATAATATGCATGAAATAATCTGTAGAGGCGTTTGGCTTGCTTGCTGGGCTGCAAGATATTTGATGCGGCGTCTTTTGCTGGTCGTTGTATGTGCGTTGTCAGCATGATAGACAAACATTCGTATGTACAAGTACACAAACGAGTAAAGATTTCAGATATATGGCAATACATACATACATACGTACATACGTTACCAGGAAAATGATTTGAACTTATTTGCATAATACTCTCTTAAGCGTGTCGCATTTTTTTTTATTTATTTTTATTTCTTATTTTTTTCTTTCTGTTTTGCAGTGCCTGCTGTAGCATACTTTTTTTTACTTTTTCTCTGTTTTCAATATTTTTTTTTTGCTTACTGTTGCTGCCATTTTAACATTTTTTTTGTAGCAAAATCCGACATTTGATGCTTTGTCGCGCTTCAGCTAATTGAATTTATTGCTTCGTATTGTATTTTTTCTCGTGTTTTTTTAATGTTCTTTTGACGGTGAACTGCTTAGTAGGTTGCCTTTTGGCTTTTTAACTTTACTGGCAATATTCTTGGCGATAAATGGTGCTTAGTTTGAGGCTTTTCTTTGAATCGCATTTGTTTGTGGAAAGAAATAAATATATAAACCAATATATGTATGCGACTCGAATGGTTTTCACTTTCAATGAATGATTAGATCACCTTTGACAGGTAAAAAAAATTAATATATACATTGACGACACTCGAAAAGTACTTGATACGAGAGCAAATGTTGCAGAATAATGCAACCGAATATGAAAAATAAATATTAAATTTATGGCTTTATTTATCATGCTTAGAACTAACCGATTTCTGTCAAATATGCACCGATTCGCTCCATAACTATTTGACAATTTGAAGATCATGTCACTATGCCGCTGTCATGGAAACCACCCTCGCTCTCAGCAATTATGACTACCCAAATCATACGCCATAGAGATATGGTAGTCACTGAGTGAGAGGTCCGAACTATAAGTAAGATACATAAGAACCTCACAACCAAGCTCTCAGAACTTCTGGTGAGTCATTATGGA